CCTTAGCTGCTGCGTGGGCGTTAAACCACAAACAAACTGACAGACAAACAAATGGGTTTCTCTTAACTGTGATGGAAATGTAAAAAAAATGGTTTCCCGAGTGGTTTTGTGGGAAACAATTATCATTCACCAAGTGTCGACTTGTTACTTTATGTGAATCTTTGATAACATTTTGTTTAATGATAGAAGACAATGTGACTAACTATGATTAGAACAGACGATGACTAATGTCAGACAAAACATACCAGGACCTTCCTCAAGGGAATTCTCTTCCCAGAAATACGACATATGTCTATCATTACCTGAGATAATGTAGTTGATGTTTATACCTGTACATTGATTAAACTGTTCAGTCTGCCCATGATGTATCGTTGTAAGTGTATGAACTTTGTGTCATCTGTTTATACCTTAATACATGTGTTTCCTCTTTACCTATAATGCCGGTAAATCGCTTTAGTCATTTAACTGGTTACATGTTGTAATTAAATGTTGGTAATTTTATCTATATCCGATAAAATCGTATTCAGCATGGCACAATAATTGCACCTAGAGTACATGTATCTGTACAGGTACCTCAAACATGTATCTTTTATCTCCGACTTCTCAGACAACATATCTCACATGTACCAGGTATTGAAGAGTAGAGACCTTGGATATTATACTGTACATAGTTACAGCACGTGTTAATTCATCCTTAACACATCACCTGATATAAACAACACATGACCTAATATAGACATCACATTACCTGATATAAACAACACATGACCTAATATAGACATCACATCACCTGATATAAACAACACATGACCTAATATAGACATCACATTACCTGATATAAACAACACATGACCTAATATAGACATCACATCACCCGATATAAACAACACATGACCTAATATAGACATCACATTACCTGATATAAACAACACATGACCTAATATAGACATCACATCACCTGATATAAACAACACATGACGTAATATAGACGTCACATCACCTGATATAAACAACACATGACCTAATATAGACATCACATTACCTGATATAAACAACACATGACCTAATATAGACATCACATCACCTGATATAAACAACACATGACCTAATATAGACATCACATTACCTGATATAAACAACACATGACCTAATATAGACATCACATCACCTGATATAAACAACACATTACCTAATATAGACGTCACATCACCTGATATAAACAACACATGACGTAATATAGACGTCACATCACCTGATATAAACAACAAATGACCTAATATAGACATCACATCACCTGATATAAACAACACATGACCTAATATAGACATCACATCACCTGATATAAACAACACATGACCTGATATAGACATCACATCACCTGATATAAACAACACATCACCTGATATAAACAACACATTACCTAATATAGACATCACATGACCTAATATAGACATCACATCACCTGATATAAACAACACATGACCTAATATAGACATCACATCACCTGATATAAACAACACATGACCTAATATAGACATCACATCACCTGATATAGACAACACATGACCTGATATAGACATCACATCACCTGATATAGACAACACATGACCTGATATAGACAACACATCACCTGATATAAACAACACATGACCTAATATAGACATCACATTACCTGATATAAACAACACATGACCTAATATAGACATCACATCACCTGATATAAACAACACATTACCTAATATAGACGTCACATCACCTGATATAAACAACACATGACGTAATATAGACGTCACATCACCTGATATAAACAACAAATGACCTAATATAGACATCACATCACCTGATATAAACAACACATGACCTAATATAGACATCACATCACCTGATATAAACAACACATGACCTGATATAGACATCACATCACCTGATATAAACAACACATCACCTGATATAAACAACACATTACCTAATATAGACATCACATGACCTAATATAGACATCACATCACCTGATATAAACAACACATGACCTAATATAGACATCACATCACCTGATATAAACAACACATGACCTAATATAGACATCACATCACCTGATATAGACAACACATGACCTGATATAGACATCACATCACCTGATATAGACAACACATGACCTGATATAGACAACACATTACCTAATATAGACGTCACATCACCTGATATAAACAACACATGACCTAATATAGACGTCACATCACCTGATATAAACAACACATGACGTAATATAGACGTCACATCACCTGATATAAACAACACATGACCTAATATAGACATCACATCACCTGATATAAACAACACATGACCTAATATAGACATCACATCACCTGATATAAACAACACATGACCTGATATAGACATCACATTACCTGATATAGACAACACATGACCTGATATAGACAACACATTACCTAATATAGACATCACATGACCTGATATAGACAACACATTACCTAATATAGACATCACATCACCTAATATAGACATCACATGACCTAATATAGACATCACATGACCTAATATAGACAACACATTACCCGATATAGACAACACATGACCTGATATAGACAACACATTACCTAATATAGACATCACATCACCTGATATAGACAACACATTACCCGATATAGACAACACATTACCTGATATAGACAACACATGACTTAATATAGACATAACATTACCTGTTATAGACAACATATTACCTGATATAGACACAACACTACCTGATATAGACAACAAATGACCTGATATAGACACAACATTACCTGATATAGACAACAAATGACCTGATATAGACACAACATTACCTGATATAGACAACACATGACCTGATATAGACACAACATTACCTGATATAGACAACAAATGACCTGATATAGACACAACATTACCTGATATAGACAACAAATGACCTGATATAGACACAACATTACCTGATATAGACAACAAATGATACGATAAGTACGACGTAACATCAATGACGAGTCCTCGCAATCTAGCATTTAGTATCCAAGACATCAAGATTACTTTCTTTGTTTTTGTCAAATTTAAGCTTTAAACTCAATTTTTTTCCAAAACTACAGAATCTTACAGTTACAATACAGTTTTAGTTTTAATATGTAAACAAAAGAATACAGAGAGAGAATGATTGTTAAAATAACATATACATTTAAATATCAACAGAACACAGATATATATTGAAATAGAAATTACAAAACGCGACTGATATATTATCTCTCGTTCGTGTTTACAAACTCTCGCGAGATTTTATTGACACCTATATGTATAGGTAATAAATCAGTTGTCGGTAGTCACGTGTCATATTTGTCACTTTTTATAAAGACCTGTTTATTACTGCTAGAAACACCCAATGTCAATTACTACAGTGTATCTGTCAAAAGTATAGACTGACCAATATTGATATAACAGGTTACCACAGTCATGGTGTTCAGCAGAGGCGCCCAACAGAACGACAAAAACATAGCTATGTTTAGATATAAATAGATATAATTATTACGTAGTTATTTTCATTGGACACGAGGGCGTAAACCCACGTTAATTTATATACATGTTTACAACAAAATACCAGAAATAATTAACTAATGAATGGGAATTAAAAAACAGATAATAAACACGAGAAAGTCTCGCCTCATACCGATAAAAGGCAAAAAACAGTTAATGTAATTAATCTTCCATTTCTTTCACGAGGACTGCGTGCAGTCTTCTGGGTGTTAACGTGTAGCAAAAGAATACAATATGTATCACAATGATACAGATAAGAAGTGTACTGAGACACTTTCATTTTCACACTTATTTAGTAAGTAAGAAAGAGAGTTCCGAATGAGAAGTTCCGAATTAGAAGATCGATTACTGTGAATCCTTTGTATGGACCATCGCCTCTATTTTAGACCATTTTGACTGTCTAGTGTCTCGGTTAGGTTGACTCATCGAGATCCTAATAGTCCTGACGATTTCACCCAGATTAGACACGACATATACACATTTATGTGAAATAATTGGAAATCAATTATGGAAATGATTTTTTTTTCGAATAAAAACAAAAACAAAGCCATTAAAAGATAAAAAAATCCATTGAATTGTTGGATTTGTTTTACGTCTGTTGGGTTGAGTAACTGCTTTTGAATGTCATGTGAAGATTGTGTTCCCGGATGATGGGCATAATTTCGAACGTTTTTATAGTGTTATCACACTGAAACATCAGAACCTAGACACGGTAGTAAAAGAGAATTTGGATTGAGATGTCTACTAGTACGATGCACACGTAAGAGTTATTTTATACTCTGGACCGTCTTGTTATATTGACACAGCCAAATTTTTTTACAGTAAACATCATCCTGATACATAGTAAAACAAAGCAATCTATATACCAGGATGGATCTATCCTGCTTATCCAAGTTAGAGATGTGATTTTTTATATCCACATGGCGATCTTTCGTATAGATAATCAGAAACAGGGAAGTCCGTCCAGATTTTGACATTTCTTTAAAGACTAGGTTTTCCCGATTCGTCCACTTAGTGTCAAAATATAGTCCTTTGCAACATTTATCAGTCCACTGATGCAGTATTTTTACCATGGCTTCTATTCACTGGTCGGGAGGTATTCAGATATCTATTGTCTACTGAAGAAATGGTTCCATAGAAAAGACACAGACGTCAAACACCTGGAGTGTCAAGGAGTTTATGAGATTCTGAACTTGAAGCCCAAATTAATGTTTGTTGGGAGTCCATGGTCTGCTCCGATAAAAATCACGTACATTCTGATGAACATGGGCAAGGAAAGGGAAATATTGAGCACAATTTGTTTCTCTACATCATTGCGTGCTGAAAATAAAAAAAATAATTGTTGGAAGTATAATATGGCACCAGTAATCCCCAGACTGTGACCTCGGATAATGGCGATATTGACTTATATAATGTCTTACACTGAAGTGACATTACCTCGACATGGCAGCATGACAGTCTCTGTCACATCTTATTCCACATTGAAACTCGACATTCCATTTCTCACAAACTTAAAAAGCAACAAAAGTTACGACACAGTAACGGTTAATGCACAAACTCCTTACTTGATAAACATTGAGACTGATCTAAATAGTTACTAAAATTATATTTTCTACAGTGGTTAAAGTCTATATTTCTCCTCTGGAGTGTTGCTTGCGTCCTTTGGATCAACGAAAACAACGAAGCCACACCATTAGAAAGAGAGATAACTCTGTTTAAACTGTAATTCTAATTACGCGCTGCACGCCATTTGAGAGCTCCGCTCGGGCGCCCGAGAGCTATATTATATTTGTGATGTCAATGCGTGTCATGTGTGGTGAGATATTGTTTTGTGATGACGTTACCCACACTTGTCAATCTTTTTGGTTAAGACTGAGAAAATATTGTGAGAGAACAATTAATAAATTATGCTTTAGAAAGTCGTTGTTTGTTATTATTGCTGCAGCTGAAGACGAATGATGGTAATGCGTACATACACCTTTATAGTTTAATCACACTGAAATAATATAACCTCGACACGGTCGCATGACAGTAACACTACCCAATACCTGTTATTGGAATCCAAGCGATTGTCAGTCTTGGTCAGGGGAAAGATCCGGTATGTTACAAGTTCAATCGCCTCATACGATCATACAATGAAGGCAGCAGGTACATGTACCATTATTATATCTTACATACAGGACATTCCCTCAGAGAGCAGTATAAAATACACTGTCTATCATCAAACGTCTTACAGAACACATTGACAGACAGACATGAATTATATGTTGTTTACAGAGGCGTGTTAGGTATTCTCTAATCAATTGCATTCATCTCGCGAGGCTAGACTATTGATTACAGCAATATCAAATCGACGTTTTACTTCGGTTTTTGTCAAATAAATCTAATAAAATGCTTTAATTGCAAGTTAAGTCAATTTTTCAAGAAATCCAATATTTTCAAGTCACCTGGTGGATCCTGTTTATTCGGGGTGCATGTGCATTGAATATCAATAATGTCATAGTGTTTGATCAGTTAACTCTGATCAATAAACATGATAAACAAATCACTTCATTAAGAGGTTGACTTATATCTAACTTAACGAATAATATAATGGGGTTACTATGGAAACCACTAAATTCGATATGTAATATTTTTCTGCCGATATGTTAATTGCCGAAAATGAACAAATTAGTATGATACACCCCATGCTTTGTATTGTGAGGTTTATACAAATAATCTGATATCAAACTGCCTTCCGGTTTAAAACCTCGTTAACATCTCGTTTATAATTAATCATTAGGTAGGTATGATTCGGTGTCCTTTAATACTAACACTTCTTCCACAACAGGTCTGGCCTGATATGTTCGGTGGCATTAAAAACTAAACGAACAAGTAATAGATGGATGGCATGCTCTCATTTCCCTGAGAGATTTAGGAAACCGACATACAAATCTTAGATGACCTAAAATGAAAAACGTGTGAATCATTTTGTAAACTTTGCGTGAAATGGGAACTAGATAAATGAAAGATTGCATTTTGCAGATGTTTCAGAGGCGCATCACAATATATACTTTCCATTGGTTTTTTGGTGCCGTGTTCATTACTATGAAAAGGCCAGGGGGGATAACTCGAAAACACTGCTCACAATCTATAGTAATTTAAACATGTTCTATTGAAAAACTCTAAAAGATAATTTCACATGTTCGCAACTGGTCCGACAATATCACGTGACTTTTATATCTGTTTATGTAAAAAAAAATTAAAATTGAGATTGAGAGTGATATGACTCTCAACAGTACGTGTATTTAACCGTGGTATTAGTAAATAACTTTTATATCTATTTTTACTTCTATCAGATATACGTGTAAGTGATCTTATTGATAAATAAAAGATCTATTATTTGATTAAGTATCATCACACATGCAATGACAGTAATCAAAATAATTTTGTTGTCGTGTCTGGGTAAATATTCTTCACATAATTATAAATAATTATTTCAACGAAATGCAAACGAATGACGAACAATTTTTCACCATTGTTGACTCTTTATTAATCACTTCTCCTCCCTAGAATCCCTAGATTCTCTTCATAAATGGGTCCCTTTTAAGTTATATATTGATACCAATTCATTTTTAAAAATCGTAGTCAGAGTAACTACTTTGTTGTTCGAGGAATCATGATCATTATTTACATAGATATAAAAGCGTAAATGTTGTTCAAACACATTGTGACAGCACCATCTATACATGCATTCAAGAACAGACTGGACAAGTATTGGGAAGACCAAGAACTCCTTTATGACAACTATAGAGCCAATATAAACATCGGAGGTGGCGTGAGAGAAACACAGCCAGATCAAACAAATAAGGAGTCTGGTGTAGAGGACTAAAAATCCTGTACCCGAAATTATCGCTAAGTATCGCTAAGTAAGTAAAAGCCGATCTATTGAGGTATACACGAGGTAACCAATGATGTACCGATACGGCGATACCCGTGCTATGGATGTCGGGCCTCCCGTATCTTGTTTAATAAGGTAACAATCGGCTACTAAAAGGAAATCTAACCTCAAATTGCCCTGGCTGTTAACGGGACGATAAACTGAGTAAGTAACAAACAAAAAAAATCAGTACAAGACAGGAATTCCACATGTCGATGACGACACACATTTTTCCATCTGGCAATATATATGGAAATCTATTCAATTATGTTTTAAACAACAGGAAGGAAAGGTTTCATCATCTCCCCAGTTTGAGTTTTATGTAAGTAAATAAGTATATTAATGATCGCGATATTGGTTAAGTGAAGTTCAGTGGTGCGCGGTTCGGTTCCCAACCCATGGCTGTTAGTGTTTCTCATGAAGCTGAGAAACGGACCAGTTTGGGATGATGTGGCTATGTCCTTGGGCACGACATTATGCCTTCGTTTTTGACGTCATGCGTCTGGCCTCTCGTATGTTGTTCAGTAGGGTATCCAACAGCTACTACAAGGCGGCTTCCTATTTTGTTAACCGACCCTGGTAGATAACGGAGCGATAGTCCTGGGGAAAACAAACAAATAAACAATTTTCATTGTTAATTTGATAAATATGTAGGAGAATGATGACCTTAACATTTTTCGATGCCTGTGGCCGTTTTTGAAAACATGCAATTACACGGTGTAGTTACAAGAAAGGTACATTATAACTTTATAACAAGTTGGAATGTAACCACAGCCTTAATGTAGCTTCAACGATCGATACCGGTAACGAAACAAAAACACGGAAACAAAACAAACCTGATAGGAAATAAAACTAAAACTTGATCTGTAACATGTCATTACCACGCCGCTTGTCAGATTAAAAAAAAATCACGGAAAAGGTATTTCTTAAAATTTCCATGTTACAGAAAATGGCGTGAAATTTCTCAGTCCTATCATCACTATGTAGTAAAGTGCATTGAACAGAAACCATGATATATATCGTATGCTACTTGGTATTACAAGTGGGGCGGGAGTGGGGTGGGAGTGGGGGCGTGAGTGGGGTCGGGCAGAGGAGGAGGAAACCTGTAGCTCCACTCTCCGTCTTTACTAATTATGTTTTCTTATCTTTGTTTAATTTATTCACTTTTCATTCCATCATTTGATATGTTTACTTTCGTACTTTTCTGTCTTCTTTACTGCCATATTTTATGACTTTGTAATATTTCTGACCTTAACTTGTTGGCATCCTGATAAAAATGTACAGAATATGTTTATTAACTGTGTCAAGGGGATTGTTGATACATGCCGTGTACTTCTATCTTCTATCGACGACGACGATGAAGAAGACGACGACGACGACGATGAAGAAGAAGATGACGACGCAACGATGAAGAAGATGACAACGCAACGATGAAGAAGATGACGACGATGAAGAAGATGACGACGCAACGATGAAGAAGATGACGACGACGACGATGAAGAAGATGACGACGACGATGAAGAAGATGACGACGATGAAGAAGATGACGACGACGACGATGAAAAGGTTGTTCAGTAGATTTCGCTGATCTGAGATAATTTTTGAAGAAACATACAATTACTTAAATTCTTAGTTTAAACATATTTTATTGCCAAAATAAATTTGAACAAGGGAATTGGGCACAAGTTAATACAACTTATTGGAGCCCTCTCCCATCATACATTTTCAAATACATGCTTATACAGATATAGGCTTAAACATAAATTATACATATTAAGCATTCACAAACAGACATAAATACATCATTGTGTAAGAATCTTTGAAACCTTTTGCTGGATTTAATGAAATTTTGCACACGTGTAAAGACAAAATAGTTTAGGTCCCCAGAAAGATCAATACTACCTAACAAAAGAAGCTCTAAATTCAAATCTACTCAACTCAGCCAGATTATGAAACAAAGTGCGTCTTTCATTTCTGAAAGTTTGACACTCAAAGAAGAAGTGAAAGGCTTTCTCACAAGGATGTCCACAGGAGCAAACTGGATTTTCGGCAAGATTTACTCGATAAAGATCGTATTTATGGGAACTACAACTGTGTCTAAGTTTAGTATGTATTATGTTTAACTTCCGTTCACCATAACTAAAATAGATAGGTGGGGATTGTTGTGTATTTAAAGTAATTGGGGTTTTAAACAAATTTATGGAAGGCAGTGACCGTACAGAGAAATCTAACAAGTTCCAGCTACGAGGCGTAGATGGTATAAAAGAGAGGTTTGTAAGAGAAAGCCCAAATAGAGGAACTCTATAATCATTGTTATTTCTAAGATTGTATGGGTTATTATCTGCAGCAATAGGTGGCAAGAGATCGTTTAAATAATCTGGAGTTATCTTGTTATGCATCTTAAATAAAAGTTGAAGTTTTCTTCGTTTTCGACTATTCGAAAGTGTATCCGTAAACCTATTTCAAAATGTAAATCTTCTATACGTGCTTAAGAAGGAAGGCCAGTTATAATACGAGCAGCTTCTC